CCGTCCACCCTCCCCCACCCCCGTCCACCCTCCCCCACCCCCGTCCACCTCAGCCACTTCTTAGGATCCAGCGCTGGTAGGATTCCCACGCGCTCTTGTTTCTCTGCCTCCGGCTCCGCGTCCCCCGACTCCTTCCATTGGCTGCGGCCCGCCGCGGTGGTCAGGGATTGGCCGTCCTGGGCTGGGAAGGGCGGCCCCCGGAGCTTTAAATGCCAAGCCCCGGGAGCTCGCAGCCCCTAGCCTGGAGCTGAGTCCCAGAGAGCGGGAGCGCACGGAGGGAGAGCCTAGCCCCAGAGCGGCAGCTTCAGGGCAGCCCGTCCAGCGGCGCACGCGCCCCCCGAAGCCCAGGTCCCCCAGCCCAGGCCTGGGGCTGCGGCCTCTCTCCTCTCTTCCCCCCCCCCGCCTCCTCCTCCTCCTCCTCCTCCTCCTCCTCCCCCTCATCCCGCCAGCTGCTTGTCCGTGCGCCGTGGCCATGTCCTCGGTGGCGCTGGAGATCCTGGGGCTGGGGCTGTGCATCGTGGGCTGGGTGGGCATGATCGTGGCGTGCGGGCTGCCCATGTGGCAAGTGTCCGCCTTCCTGGACAGCAACATCGTGACGGCGCAGACCATCTGGCAGGGCCTGTGGATGAACTGCGTGGTGCAGAGCACGGGCCAGATGCAGTGCAAGGTGTACGACTCGGTGCTGGCGCTGAAGCCCGAGGTGCAGGCGGGCCGCGCGCTCACCGTGCTCGTGGCGCTGCTGGGGCTCGTGGCGCTCATGGTGACCGTGGCCGGCGCGCAGTGCACCACGTGCGTGGCGCCCGGCAAGGCCAAGGCGCGGGTGGCGGCCGCCGGCGGCGCCCTCTACGTGCTCTGCGGCCTCCTGGCGCTGGTGCCCCTCTGCTGGTTCGTCAACATCGTCATCAGCGAGTTCAAGGACCCCACGGTGCCCGCGTCGCAGAAGCGGGAGATGGGCTCGGCGCTCTACATCGGCTGGGCGGCCACGGCGTTGCTGCTGCTCGGAGGCGGCCTCGTCTGCTGCGGCGCTTGCTCGGCCGCCGCCCGCGAGGATCTCCCCTTCCCGGTCAAGTACTCGGCCCCGCGACGGCCCACGGCGAACGGGGACTACGACAAGAAGAACTACGTCTGAGCCGCGCGGAGGCCGGGGCAGCGCGAGGGACCGGCCCGGAGAGGCAGGGCGCTGGCTCACGGACCCGGACTGCGGCCCGGCGCCCGGCCTGCGGGCCCCGGGGCTTGGGGGTGCTCGAGGGCGCGCGGGGGGACCGGGCCCCCCCACGCCCCCTCCGACCGCTCAGGGCCATGCTCTGCGGGGTCCGGGGAACTGGGAACCAAAGAGCCGCCCGAGAACCCGCGGGAGGGCAGGGTTTGGGCTGGGAACGCCTCCCCCACCCCCACCCCCGCCCCCCGCGAATGCCCGGAGCCCCGCAACGAAGGTGCAAGGGCCAGCGCGGTGCGGGCCCCGCGGACTGCCCGGGGGCGGTGCAGGTGCCTCTGAAAACCACGGAGAACGAGCCTGAGGACTGACCGGGCGTGGGGGGGGGGAGGGAGCCATCCTGGTGGGCAGCCAAGGTCGCGCCCCCGCCCTCTGCCCCGCTTCGCAGCTCTTTTCCTGTGGAGCCGCTGAACGAAACTGCGCCGTACTCACAGCCCACGCTAACCTCCGCCCCGCGAAGGCAGCCGCGAGTCCCTGCCTTCCAGACTGTTTATACGAACCGGATGGCATATATTTGATACCCTTATTTTTTTATACTGCAGGTGGCACAGGGTGTAGGAGGGAGGGAAGGCCCCAAGCCATGGACTTCTTCCTGTCCCCCTGCTTCTTTACCACGACCCATTTGCGCTTTGGGATCCACGAAGGAAATCGAGGGCGTTGCTTTCGGGACCCTCTAAACCCGACTTCTTGGGGCAGTAGAGGCCAAGGGCTGAAGCCCGGGTGGCAACGGCTCTGCTCCCCACCCCACCCCCGGAGGGGGCGGCGCCCTTCGGGAGACTGTGTCCTCAGTCCGGAGGAGCTCTCCTGTGGGAGAGCTGACCCTTAAACTTGGCTCACCAGCCGGCAGCTTTTCGGGATCTGTCCTTTGGGGGCTGCCTCGGCACCTGCCGCTAGCCTATTCCGGGGCTACAGATTTCAGCTCAAAGCCCACAGCCCTTCTTCCTTCCTTCCCTGCCTCCCTTCCCCCCAAGGGAGGAGGAAAACAATCTCCTAGCCCAACCCTTCCACTCTGGGAGGATTTGGAAACAGCCCCTCCTGCCAAGGATTTCGTATTTTCAGAGATGCTGAAGAAATGTTCTAATTCCAATGAATCAGTGTTGACATTGAGAGACTGACTGCCTTCCGCCAACCTCGGGCGCAGGACCCTGGTGGGTTAGAGGAGCTCGGTTGCCTAGGTTTTGCAAGAGACTAGCCCTCGCTCTCTGGCTGAGCTATGACCAGCGCCCCCTCCCTCCCTTGCCGGGGAGGACAGCTGCCCTCTTCCTTCATAGGGAAAGGGGGCTTCAGGCAGCAAGAGACACCCCTTTCCAGCCTTCTTGACTTGTCTCAGAGTGGGAGGAGGCTGCTGGTGAGGCCCTGTGCCTGCCTGGTCGTGGTTGCTGTGGGATGGAGTGAAGCAAGGCTAGGTGCTTCTCAAGTCCACCCAGCACTGAATGTTACGTAATCTGCTCAGTAAAAAGATTCACTATGCCCCTGTCCTGTTTCCTTACTAATGCGTCATACTGGCCTAGGTGTAGAATGGGGGGGGGGGGGGGTCGGGTCCCTCTGGATTTCGTCTGTTCATCCCTCCCTCTCTTTCATACACACACTTCCCACCTGGGACCTAGCTTCCTTCCTAGATCTAACCCCCCTCCCCATCGGACCTCAGTTTCCTCCTATATAAAATGTTGTTTGCCCTAGACAACTTTTAAGGCCCAGCCTTGATATTCTCTGTTCTGAAACCTCTCCCAGTTCTAGCATTCTCTGTTCCAAGGCCTCCTCCAGCTCAGTCTGTGTTCTAGGTTCTAAGTTCCCTTCAGCTCAGACAGTCTCTGTTCTAAAGTCCCTCCCTATTCTAACATTCAGCTGTAAAGTTCCTTCCACCTTTGACAGTCTGGGATTCTGTGTGAGTGAGGCTTCCCAGGATTGCTGGAAAGACAGGGAACCTGCCACTTCCTTCCCGGTCACTTCCTGGGTTAAGCAGCCCACGGAAGGGCGGCGTGGGAATGGAAGAAGGAGCTGTGCCTGGTCTGACTGGGGGCACAGACTTTGAGTCAGGTCACTGAGTGGGGAGGGAAAGGTCGATCGAGGGAAAAGCCTCGAATCCAGCAGGCGGTGGTAAACCTGGCTCAGCAGAAGGCTGACCCACTCTCCCCAAAGAGCGCTTCACCCCTGCCTCTTCTCAGTCTCAGAGCACTGCTTTCTCCTCTCTGGGTCTTCTTCCTCCCCAGTAAAATGAGGGGGTTGGACAGGATGGCCAACCATGACTGAGTGGAGATGTACCCATAAAGGAAAGGTGGACTCAGAGCACAGAGTGGGGCAGCTTTTTGGACACAAATGGCCAATGGAGAAATTTGTGTGACCTGCCGGTATTTCTACATTATCAAAAAACAACAGGAGTGGGGGCGGGGTGAGATATTAAACTAACTGGTCGATAAGTCCAAAAATATCAGGATTGGAGGGATGTCATTTAGCCCAAGCTTACTTGAAAAACTTTTGCCTTGGGGAAGTTTGGGACTTTTTTTTTCATCCTTCCCTATAAAATATCAGATTGGAGGTTACTGTGGAAAGTAGCTTTAGGAGTTTTTTAGTTGGATTAAAAAAACATTGTTCTGATTGTACCTGTATAACCTATATCAGATTGCTTGCCATCTTGGGGATGGGGGAAGGGAGGGAGGGAGAAAAATTTGGAGCTCAAAATCTTGTAAAAAGTGAATGCTGAAAACTATCTTTACATGTAATTGGAAAAAATAAAATTCTATTAAAATATTCTTCATGAACATAAATTTGTACTATTTATTTAAAATAATTAATGTCATCTGTAAAAAAAAAAAATGGTTCTTCCTTTCCTCCAAAAAAAAAATCCCTCCTCTTCAATTTTATGATTTAAGCTCCTGGTCTTGTCTTCTGGGCAGCTTGGTGTTGTTGCCCTGCAGCACGGCCCCTGGGCAATTTTCTGTTCCTAGGGTGCAGACCACCCCCCCAGGTTCCAGGGGTGGCGGAGGTCAATCTCTGAGCCTCTTCATGGCCTGGACACTGAGTAGTGGTCACATATCCCCAAGTCCTCATGCCCTTCAGGCTTCAGAGGGATCCTGAGCCTGCTCCTGTGACCTAACCTGGATAACAAGGTACAGTGGGGAGAAAACGAACATAGTGTGCAAGCTGGAGAAGACCACTCACCCAATTCTGCAGATGCATCCCTGAGAAAGTAAGTCCCCCACAAAAATCCCACAGTTAGTTGTTGGCAGAGCCAGTAACCTAGGCTAACAAGTCCATATGCATTTATTAAGTGTTTATGTGTACCAGATTCTCTGCAAAGCACTGGGAATACCAATCCAAGCAGAAAGCCAGGCCCTGCTCTGAAAGCTTATATTCTGGTGGGAGAAGATAACATAAAAAAGGAATATGGGGGGAGTAGGGTGGCTCGCAGCAGGCAAAGTCCAGAGAGTCAGGAGTGGAGCCCAGAGAGGAACGGGAATATGGCAGCCTGGGCACTTTCCTTCTCAGGGATCTGCGAGGAGCCAGCTGATCAGAAGAAGGGGCCCAAAGGCTTCTGAATGCAGGTCTAGGGAAGGGCATATTCCTCAGATCCAGAATCACTTGGGGAGTGGGGAGGGTTCCAGAATTCCTGAGTGAGCAGTGCAAAGCTGTATGGGGTGTGTGTGTCCACCCCTCTGCTTGGGTGCTTATGTCTGCATCACTCTAGGTGCCTGGGGCCACATCCCAAGGCTCCATCGTGCTGAGCTAGAGGGCAGGGGCTGCTGGGGTATGAGGATGGACCCTTTCCACTTAGGCGACAAGTTCCCCATTCCTCCCAGAATTGTCTATTGCCAGCCCCAGGGAGGCCCTGCCTAGATAAGCCCTGGACTTGGAGTCAGAGGCTGTAGGTGATCAATAATTCACTGCCGCTCAAACTGGGGCTCAGTTTCCTCATCTGTAAAACAAGGTAGAGCTATTTGGTTTCTAAGTCCTAGGACCAAAACATCCAAGTGCCAGATTCCCCCTCCCCCCCCCCACACTCCAGCCCCTGTGAATATATTGCTGTGATGTTTCTGGCTTACCTCACAACCACTCTATGAGGTGGTAACTGCACATTTCATCACACCCATTTTATAGTTGAGGAAACTGAGGCTCGGAAGGGATGTGACCTGCCCAAGATCACACAGTCAGAAGGGACTGGTGTTGGGATTCTCAGCCAGATCCCCTGCCTCGACCTCCAGAGTGTGTTTTGTACTGCAGAGACCCCAGTAACAGGATGAAAGGAAGATGCAGGATTCTGGAGGTATCTGCAGGTACTTGGCCCTCCCTGTGCACCCCCTCTGCCATCTGGTGCCTCCCTCCCAGTGCCCTGGTGTCCTTTCCCCAGACAGTTGCAGGGGAGGGAGAGGGCCCAGGTTGGAGACTGGAGGAGGGAGCCACAGGAATGTGCTTGGACACACAGGAGCTTCAGAAAGACGGCTCAGCACATTCCCCAGAGGCAGAGCCCATCTGGCAGTGGGGAGGGGGAGCCAGGGAGAGACTATAAGTCCCCTTCCACCAAGGATGCGCCTAGCACAACCCACATTGGGCTGCTGCTGCTGCTGCATCGGGAGGGAAAAGGTGAATCGAGCTGTCTCCTTCCCCAGCCCCCTCCCTAACACATACACCTCCAGTCCCTGGGGCCCTTCCCTGGCCCCCTCCCTATTCCACAGGGTGAGAACACCGTGTACCAGCCCAGTGCCCACAACAATAGGAACCAGATGGAGGGGAAATGCTGCCTTGCCCACTCTACCCCACCCTGCCCCAAGCAGGCACCTCCTTGCTCCCAGGGTCCAGAGCAGAGCCCTGGGCTTCTCTGGCACGTGTAGAGAGAGGAGAAAGGGGAGATGAGACGGGAGGAAAAGGAGAGAGAGAAGGAGAGAGGGAGAAGGGGAGGGAGGAGGAAAGGGAGAGAGGGGAGGGGAGAGAGAGAAGGGGAGGGGGGAGGGGAGAGGAAGAAAGGGAGGGAGGGGAGAGAACGGAACAGTAGGAAAGGTACAGGAGGGGCTGGGGAGAGAGGAGAGGGCCAAGGGAACCAGGAGGGGCCGTGGAAAAGTTCGGGTTTGGGAGAAAGGAGGAGATAATCGAGGGGAGGGCTTCAAGGAGTAAGGCAATAAGGGGAAAAGGGGGTGGGCAGACAGAAGCAGGGAAAGGGAAGGGGAATGGGAAGAGAAGGGAGGACAAGATAAGAAGGGGGCAAGCAGGAAGCCTGGAGTCCAAGACAGAAAGGAGCAGAGACAGCCGAGAGCAAGGCAGCCACAGGGTGCGGGAGCTCCCTGGAAGCCAGGTTGCTCCACTCTCACTGTCTCACAGTGACCCAGGGGCGTAGGCCAGTGGCCAGCACAGCAGGGGGCTGACAATCACCGTTAGCTCCCAGGGGGTCAGAAGGGCAGCAGCACCATCTGGTAGGCCCCAGTGCCAACACATTACCTCAGTAGAGCCCTCTCTTATTATTACACATCGGCTTCTCCTTTTAGGGACTTTGGGCGGCAGGAGATGGGTGGAGGCCACAGAGCCTGGCCAGGGCAGCGATCCAGCCGAGGCGACAGAGGCCTGGTTTGTGAGTCCTGGTTCAGCTGATTGTGTGGCCGTGGCTAAGTCCCTTTCCTTCGGCAAATTCTGACTCTAAGCCCTTTGAAACCCCGGCTGGGGGCCCACAGAGTGAATCTCAAAGGGTCACTTGGCTCTTACAGGAAATGCGATCGGTCTCCTCCAGTGTGGCCACAGGTGAGACACTACCAGGTCATTGCTACTGGCTGGTGTGGATGCCTCCCCCAAACCTTGCCCTGGCACCTCCGGTGGCTGCTGTTTATCCACTCGTGAGAAGCGAAGGCTGGTCCCTGGGCCCTCCCTACTCCCCTGGCCATCTCTTATCCCTCTGGCCTTCTGGAGACTGTAGAAAAAAGGAGATCAGCTGAGAAGACAGAAGGAAATAATAATAATGATGATTGTTATTATTGATAGCTGGTACTAATGCAGTGTTTTAAGATCTACAAAGTGCTTTACAAATATTATTTCATTTGAGCTTCACAAGAACCCTGGGAGGCAGGTGCTATTAAGATCCCCATTTTACAGATGAGGAAACTGAGGCAGATAGCGATTAAAATGACTTGCTGAGGTAAGCATCTAAGGCAGGATGTGAGCTCACATCTTCCTGACCCCCAGGTCCAGCGCTCTGTCCACTGCACCACCTGGCTGAGAAGGGACAGAATTTGGAAGACGAAGGAGGGCTGAAGGAAAGGAGAGGGAGGAGGTAGAAAGATGGATGGAGGAGGGAGGGGTCAAGCCAGCTCCCAGATCCCCGTGCAAAGGCAGCCCCCCTGCTGGCCTGAGCATGTTATCACTGGGGCCCTCACAATACCATATCCGGCCTCTGAGAGGCTGCAGAGAGGAAGTCAAGAGGTAAGTGGAGGCCAAGGCAAGTGAGTGATGGGCCCGCAGGCCTGAGGCTGCCTTAAGTGGAGGTCTCTGCCCACATGGTGACATTTGTGAGCGGCTGATGCCCTTCTCATCAGTGGCTGATCCCATGCGGTCATCCGAGCACAGAACAATGTTATCTGTCTCCCTGCACGCTCAGGGAAGGGGGTAGAGGCAGGAGGGAGGCCCTTTTCCAACCTTGGAAAGCCAGTCAAATGCAAGGCCATAATTCAGCCCTAAATCACCAAACTCTTGGGTTTCCCCCTGAGAATCTCTACAGGTCAATGGCCCTGTACTTTTCCAAAACACATTCACTGGCTGGACAGATCCCTAAAACTCAACCCTTTGGGGAACAAAACACCTTGGCTGGGCCGCCCATCCTGTCCCCAGCAAACGCCCCCATCCCTCACGGTCAGAAGGAGGGATGTAACGGCAGTTTTCTGACCCTGAGGCTGACTTGCGCCCACTGCTGGCCAGCTGCGGGGTCAGACAGGCTGGGTCTGAGGCGTGGAGGTCCGTGAAGGGGACGTGACTCCCCCAAGGCCCCCTCCGCTGGGCTGCCCCCAACAAGCCTCATGATCCCCATTGTAGGATGAGAGCATCTCTAAGGACCCGGCCAGCTCTGGTTCCTGGGATCCCAGGTCTCAGCCAAGGTCACGCAGCTGATAATGACCCACCACAGGCCATCGTGGGAGGGACGGAGGGAGGGGAGCAAGCCTTCACCCACGAATGCACCCCTACCACCTGGCTGTCAGGTGAGCTAGCAGACAACAGGGCCGAAGAAAAGCAGCTGAGGCTCGTGGGTTCTTCCAAGGGTGCAGAAGGGTCGGTGAGGGCCCTGGCTAGGCCCCAAAGACCTCACTTCTCCTACAACTCCGTCCAGAGCCAGGCCAGACCGGCTGTCCCTGCTGGAGGTCGAGGTCTCTGACTCGTCAAATCCCTCGAGTGGAAGCCACTGGGCCAGGAGACAGCTGCACCAAAAGGAACCTAAACACACCGGGGTCAGAGACTGAAAGGACTCGTCTCTGACCCAAGGGGCTCCCCTCCTCGGCCCTGGGCAGATGACTCCTCTGCCTGGCTCCTGGCGAACGGCCCAGGCCAGGCCCCATCTCCACCAGATGAGAACCAAGGAGGCTCTGGGGTCTGTGGGAACCAGGCCTAGGCAAGGAATTAAAACAAGGGATCCAAGCCCCAAAGAAGGGCGCTTTATTGTGTTCAAAGGATATAATCACCTTTCCCTAGAGCTAAAATCTTGTTAATAATTTATACCCAGTCTATAAAAGCATCACAAACGTGCAGCCAGTATTTACAATCCAGACCAATTCATCAGAAGGATTCCAGGAGCTGAAGGGAGAAAAAGAAAAGGCGAGGTGGGCCCTGAGCTCAGAGCCAAGGGAGAGGAAAGTTGCAGTGCACCCATTTCACTGAGCGGAAAACTGAGCATCTGAAGAGCGAGGCGACTCCCCCACAGCCTGGGCCGGGTGGCCGAGGGGGGAGCCCCTTTGAAACAGGAGGGTTTTATTCATCAGACTCAGTATAGAGTGCCTGGCACACAGCTGGTGCTTAATAAATGCTTGCTGATTGATGGAGTGGATTGTTGGAGGTGGTGGGAAGCCCTTGATGAATGGGAGCAAGGCAGGGAGACAGAGCACAGAAAGGGCTGGCCTTGGAGTAAGGAAGCCCTGGGTTCGAGTCCTGCCCCTGCTCCAGGCAGTCAGGCAGCACTGGTGGAGAGAGGAAGGAGGGTCTCAGAAACCACTTCACAGAGGGGGAAACTGAGGCCCAGAAGGGTGATCTAAGAATCTAAGCATCCTTGAGAAGAGATCTCAGGTTCATCCAGTCCAAGGGGGGGCCTGAGCAGGAATCCCCTCCGGCAAGTATCTGGCAGATCCCCGATCCTCCAGCTTCCACTCGCACACCTCCAGGGACAGAGAACTCCCTACAAATCAAACCAGCCGCCTCGCTGAGTCAGAATGGGCCCCTGTGCAGCCTCAGCCCCTCCCCCTCATCCCGCCTCCTGCCCCGTCAGGAGGAACATCTCACTCCTGCCCTTGGGTGCCTGGCACACGGCAGGACCAGACCCCACCGATCGCTCGCTTCTCCCCATCTCCAGGCCTTGGGTTTTAGCCAGTGCCCCCTACAGAAGAGAAGTCTGAGGCCTGAGAGCTCCCCAGATGTGCCCAATGGTGCGAAGGGAAGATGGGGGCCTGGGGGTGTGTGTGGGAGGGTTTCCCTGGAGATTCTTAGCTTGAAGAGAAGGCAGGAGGGGGCGTCTGCAGTCCTCCAGGAGGGAGGTCAGACTAGCTCTGCTTGGCCTCAGAGGGCAGGATGGAGCCTAACCAGGCGTCCCTGAGCTGGATAATCAGAGCCAGCTTCTCTGCGGCGCGTAAGGCTGGCAGAGCCCTTTACACACATGATCTCCTCTGATCTTCACAACCCCCAGAGAAGGACATGCTCTTAGGATCCCCATTTTACAGATGAGGAAGCTGAGGCAGACAGCAGTGATGCGGCATGACCCAGGTCACGCAGCCAGGAAGCATCTGAGGCAGGATTAGATCTTGGGTCTCGGCATGGAGCCATCCTGGCCCTGAAGGGCCACCAGGACACGGGGCGGGCTCTCCCTCACTGGGGGTCCGCCCAGGGAAGTGTGGATGAGCCTCGGGGGAGATGCTGACCAAGGGCTTGTGGTTCAGGGGCCGTCGGATGGGGGGGTCCCTTCTGACTTGGGAGCGAGCGCAGCCCACTGCTCCACACAGCCCCCTCCGGCTTCTCTCTGGCTCGGGCCTTCTTTGGGAAGAGCCCCTGGACACAAGCTTCGGACCTTTCAAAATCCAAAGGCTTCAGAGGCCAGGGAGGTCCAGGTCCTGACGTCACCAGGCTCCGACCCCCCACCGCTGCATCCTGGGGAGCCCGGGGGGCTCATTCTCAGGCTGCCCATCTGGCCCCTGTCGGACATAAGCCTGGGTCGGCAGATTCATTCCCGAGGCCGAGGGATGGTTTGCTCAGGGGCTGAACCACAGACAGGCCTGCCCTCCGCCAGCTGGGTAACCTCGGGCAAATCCCTTAGACCCGCCTTGGCCCGTCTCCCCTTGTGGACTCAGTCTAGAAGATCTGAGTTCAAATCCTGTCTCACACCCTTACTACCAGTGGCACCCCAAGCGACTGACTTGGCTTCCTTTAGACTCAGTTTCCTCATCTCTAAAATGGGGGCAATAATGGCCCTGTGTCCCTGGGGAAGATACAATGTACATGAAGTGCGTTATAAACACGCTGACCGTTATCATCATCAGGAATTATCCCTGTTCCAGCTCCAAATCTAGGCCCCTCACACCACAGAAAGGCCTGCTCTCAAGGGCCAGCCAAGGGACGCTCCCGCTGCCCCCCAATACTCACCCTCATGACAGCAGAGAAATCAGTGCGTCCAGGAACTTGCCTCGGTCTTCCACCTTGAGCTCAATGACTGAATGAATGGAGGAAACGCGTGTGAGGGAGAGAAAAGACTAAAGGGGAACCCCCATCCCCCCCAAAAGCCATGCTCAGAAGTCAGGTGGCATCTCTGTTACCCCCCCAGATCCCCAAGGTCTGGGGGCTCTGGCTGCCAGGTCTCCTGCCTCCCCCAATGACCTCCACATCACTAGGGTCATAGAGGGCTCTGGCTGCCAGGTCTCCC